TGTTAAGAGGTCACTGACGCATAAAATTTATGACCATCTTCTAAAAATAAGGTGGGTGTTGCACAGTTTTGTAATGCAGGAATTTTTCTAGAAAAGCAGCTAAGGGCTAGTATGATAAAAGATACACCTACATGGAGGTTTCTGTGGCTTCTCCCAAAAAATCAATTTAGCTCAGAAAACAAAATGCATGGGAGGAGACAATAGAGCAAATTTTTCCACCTTACTATGTAATGAAATCTCCTCCAGAAGAGTCGGAACAACTGATGCAGTGAAATAATAAACACTGTGTAAACAAAACATTAGAATGTTTTTTTTGCTTAATGAAGACCTACTGAATGATTGCATTCTTCAAATTCCTTATATTTACTGGGTGGTTTTAAGGATGCTTTTCTATAAACAATTCTCTCTTAATGAACATACAAACATCTCCTTGAGCAGCAGCAGAGAACCCATCAACTACGCCGCTTCACATCGGCTCCTCTGACTTTGTTTTAATCAGTCTTTGAATATTTAAGTATTCCAGAACTAGAACTGATACATCTGCAAATTGGATTTTCCTATAAGCAATTGTCTTCCTCACATTTACTAAAGGCAACAAAACCCAAGAAGCTGAGTTTTTAAAAATACAACTGGCAAATAATTGTTACAATTTATCAACCCTCTTCATTATCAGCAGCATGCAGCAGCTAGCTATAAAACAGTCTTAGTAATGGATTACAATGTATAATTGGGATTTCAATCCCAATTTATTGTCTTCAACAACAAAATGCAATATAAACACTGTCTTAACTATTGTATTTTTCATGTTTCTCATGTGTGGACAAACAAATATTTTATGAATAGTCTCTTGGCAGACTCATTATTAATATACTGTACTCAAGTATTTACTTCTTCAAGCTACTGTTTTAATTACACAAAATACACATCTACAGCTGTAGACATAATGAATTAAATGAAGAGTTTATCCAAGAGTATGTTCCAAACAAAGAGCTGAGAGACTGCAGATGTCCCTTTTCCCCCGTAAACGATTTTCCATACAAGTTCCCTGTTTGACCCTGACAACACAGCAATTAAGCCAGTGCCTTTTGATAAATGTTTCAAATTTCCTTTCGGAAAACTAAAAAGGGTTTGTTTCTTGGTGAAAAACCATCCAGAGATGGCACAGAGCATCAATTCAAGAGAGTGTTTATCTGACATTAACCAGGTAATAGGAGAATATTCTTCTGATGTCATCTTCTGCTTTTAGTCTTACTTCCTAGGAAAACGTAGCTCTTTTCTGGTCAATCTCTGCACAGCACATGAGAGCCTATTTATTCCCTCTCTCCTCTTCCCATCCAGTAACTCTCAATCTGCAGGCCAGCTGCAATAGAAGCCGGGTAGTGTATCATTTTGCTGAGCACAAACTTACTGTAAAAGCAATTTTAACCAACTGAAAGCTTACGGGAAGATCCATTCAATTTCAACAAGGCAAGTCACTGAACTAATGGTAAAAACTGAAAGTTGTACCAGTACAGGACAAAAAAAGCCCATTTTTCAGGAAATTAACATGTTGCATCCCCAGAGATGTGCAAATTCCTAAAAACTTACACCACAGGCTGACAATCTAGCTAGGGAAACATCAGTTAGAAATAGGAGCTGTGTTTATGTATATATTTATTTTCTTAACTTCCAGAAGATATTTAAGTATTGATCTCTTCCTCTAACAACCAACCACAGAATATAACCACCAGAAGTTGCCGGGTAACCTGAAGCACTCGTTGAGAACTAGATGCCACCACAACACAATTGTAGTGCAGATACATTAAAAAAACCTCACTTCAACAATAACAAAAAGAGTATAAATTAAGTTACCCACACTAATTGATTATAATTTGTGACAGTCAAAATACCAAAGTATGAAGCTCTGCATAAGAATACTAGTTCTGTATTACTCAAAACAGACAACTTGACACGTCTATTCAGTCATCCCAAAAGAAAGCAGAAATACTCGCTCACTATTTAATGCTCAACATAGAATCATTTAGGTTGGAAAAGACCCTTAAGATCATCGAATGTTGCACCTTTTAGGATCATCAGCCGCCTTCTCTCCCCCAGTGCAATGGGATCCCCAGAGCACGTTGGTCCAAATGATAACTTGATGTTGATTCACGGATGATGTCGTGCAGGAATCTCCAGACTTCCCCCTTTACTAGACCAGATTTAGATATTCTGGTTTTATTATGAACAGAAACACTTATGAATTCAGTGCTTGATAGTGCCTGACAATGAATGAATCAGAAACTACCAACAGCAACCATTCAAAAGTTTTCAAAGGTAACACATTTGCATATTGAAACTTCCACGGATGTCTCTCTTGCATGTCACAGTCTCCTTTTGCTCCTCATCAGTAACATCAGCATCTCAGTATTACTCAGTTTTGATTGAGTATTAGTATTTCCAGGAAAAATACAAGGTCAGTAAGCCCTGGACATAGACTCCTCTTTTCCCTGTGGACAGATGCAGCCCAAGATCCAGGAAGTTTACTCCAACCCCGTGAAGATTTGACCTGGAAGAACCACCACAGCAGAACACCTCTGCACTCAACATCTTGTTGAGTTAAATTTCTTTACTGAAAGAGGGGTTAAACATTGGAAGAGGCTGCCCAGGGAAGTGATTGAGTCATCATCCCTGGAAGTATTTAAAAGACGTGTAGATGCGGCACTTAGGGACATGGTTTAGTGGGCATGGTGGGGTTGGGTCAACAGTTGGACTCAATCTTAGAGGTCTTTTCCAACCTTAATGATTCTATGATTCTATGATCTTGTTGGACTTGCAAGGGCAGCTACCAATTTGGTTGCTTTCCTTGCTTCATATTTAAGGTATTTAAGATCCACATACCGTATGACACTGAACATAACCAATCGCGTCAGGGTCTTCCTTGCTTCAGGATGACAGTCCTGAAGTCTCCGAGAGCACAGCTTCCTTCAAGCTGCAACTGTAAACAGCAATTACCACTAGTAACCAGATTGGAAACAAACTTTCAGAAACCAAAGGGGATGCACACTAACTGCAGGAGCTTCTAGACCTACTCTGAAGTAGTTCCGTATCCATGATCACCACCTGGACTGCACCAAGCCTTCGAGAAGTCATCATCTATTGACAAGTATGGCCTATGTCCTAAGGCAAAGGATAAAGTCATTGATCATCGAATGTTGCACCTTGTAGGATCATCAGCCGCCTTCTCTCCCCCAGTGCAATGGGATCCCCAGAGCACGTTGGTCCAAATGATAACTTGATGTTATCACTTGATGCACTGTGTCACAACAGCTACTTATCCAAAACACTTTCCTTTGTCCTTCTGGATAAAGGCAGATACGGACAATCAAAGCACAAAGGGCAGGATATTGGCGAAGTAACCTGTTAAAACCAAAAAGCCTGAGAGGGAGGCAATTAATGAAATTCTTTTACGCAGGAGACCATCCCATCAGATCTTGGGTGACTGGAACATGAGAAATTCCTCAGTATCCTACGGAAGATGTAAGGTTTAGTGATTAACACCAAAATGTAATTTTTAAGTCATCACAGTCATCTTGCACAGAAAAAAATGATAAAATTCAATGAGTGCTTTGTTTTTCCAGCATAGCACTGATGTTTCTGCTCAGCGGAAGAGAAACCCCTTCAGAGCTTTGTAGTACAAATCTCCACAAATAACGCATTGCAAAATTATAACTGAAAACATTTAGATCCTTCTAGATGACAAAATGATGACACTACCACTGAAATAACTTGTGACGTATGGGCAATGACTGACAACCAGGTCCTTTTCTCACTTCAAGTCTCATAAACGAGAGGGTACTGGAGAGATGACAGCTCAGTTTAGCATAGCTAGTCACTGTCAGATAGCAACTTAACCTTTTTAAAGGGTATTGTTAAAACATTTTTCATGAATGCTGAAGTATTAATGCCACAGCCGCAAGTCTGGCTTCTTAGGAGGAAGGAATACCCATTCAACACAACAGGAGGATGCAAACAGTACTAGATGTCATACGAAACAACGCCTACAGCTGTTACTGACAACATCTAGAATGGGGCTGGCTGCTTTGCTGCTTTTCTTCTCCAAACTATTATTAGACAGCAGATTGCTGCCTCATAACACACTTTTAGTAATGGAGTAAAAAAACCCCACTGATTCAGATAACCTCATTTAGTACTACCGCAACCTGTCAAATAGTTTTAGGTACTTCTATGGTCCTGTCCCGGTTTCAGCTGGGATAGAGTTAATTTCCTTCCCAGTAGCTGGTACAGTGCTGTGGTTTGGATTTAGGATGAGAACAAAGTTGATAACACACTGATGTTTTAGTTGTTGCTAAGTAGTGCTTACACTAGTCAAGGACTTTTCAGCTTCCCATGCTCTACCGACTGAGCAGGCTGGAGGTGCACAAGAAGCTGGGAGGGGGCACAGCCAGGACAGCTGACCCAAACTGGCCAAAGGGACATTCCATACCATGTGACGTCATGCTCAGTACATAAACTGAGGAAAGCTGGCCGGGGGGGCCGCTGCTCGGGGACTGGCTGGGCATCAGTCAGCGGGTGGTGAGCAATCGCACTGTGCATCGCTTGCTTTGTATATTCTATTATTTTATTTCAATTATTAAACTGTCTTTATCTCAACCCACGAGTTTTCTCACTTTTACTCTTCCGATTCTCTCCCCAACCCACCAGGGGGGGAGTGAGCGAGCAGCTGGGTGGTGCTCAGTTGCCAACTGAGGTTAAACCACGACAGGTCCTTACCCTGGCATCTGCAGGCCATAACCTGTCATGGTTTTACCCTCAGAAGGGCTCATGACAAGGGATGCCTGATATCAGAGAGGTCACACAGAAAGTTTTGTGAGAGACCAAGACTCTGTGCCTCTGTTCTGAGTTCTCAGCTGCTGTCCTAAGCTTGTGCAAACCTTTCTGTATGACATTATAAACTGAAAATACAAAAAATTTACAAAAATGCATACAGTAATGTAAAATTATTATTTTTTATTATTTGATGTAAATTTTTATATTTTACCAAAGGTACTTCTATTCTTTGTTTACAAAGCCAAAAACATATCTGGATCACTTGCAAGTCAAAGAAGAGATTTCAGATGACAAAGAACATTTTTCAATGACCGGTTACCTGAGTTACAGTCCAATATTTAACTTCAGACAGTATCACTCTTAAGACTTTTTACAGTAAGAAATAATAAGCTTTTCAAGTCAAAACTTACATCAGTGCTTGTCATAAATTTAAGAATTCTCATGAACCAACAACATGAAATATCTTACATAACTTATACTATACATTTTTGCTTGCCTCTACAATAAATTAATACCCCGGATTAGCAAAAATATTTACAAAACCAAGATAAAACACGGTATAAAATTTTTTCAAAGATATATTTCTTCCAAGAAACAGTTTGGTACCAAGAGTGAAATTTCAAGTCTTACAAAATTGCTTCTCACTTAATTAAATTCATGAAGGTAAATAAATAAGATACAATTATACAAACAAACATTGATACCCTCATATGGGTTTATGCAGTAAAAGTGTGTATCTCTTCCTGGGAGTATCCAAGATCCTTCAGGTATCTGAAAGTAAAAAATCAGATTTGTAATATTAATATTTGGAACCCAAAACCCACCACAGACACAGCTGAAGCATAACTTTAGCACCACTATCTTGTTTTTATTCAGACACGCACAATGAAGTTTACCTTTGCAAATACATTTAGAAAACCTTTCGTGCCCAGGGGCTCATATGTACTACATTGTCTTATGGATCCTGAAAGGATTTCTAAAAATACAGATATCTATTTAAAGTATCTCAGATTTCTCAAGAGGTAGTATAATTACTGGCCAATTCCACCCTCCATGCACCTGACTTCAGCAGGGCTGCAGAAATGCAAGCGATGTCCATATTGGTTCAATATTTTGAAGCTGGGCAAGAGAAAGTTAGAGGGCCTTTTATCTTTAAATATATGGCATATAAAATAAGGAAAGTATTAGGTACAGACATAAATAAATGCATTAATAAAAATCGAGAGAAGTGCTTGTGATAGAACAGCTGCTTTGAATTTTACTTTTAGTAACTTGTCAAGCTAACACCAACAGAGAAAACTTATTTCTTATTATAACAACTTTTCTGTGAACATCAAATAAAAGCAGCATTTAAAACCTTGGGGAAAAAAGGTCATTGTTAAAGAGATGCTCTTAAACAGTTTTGGACAACTTACTAGAGCTCATGAAATTTACATGTTGCTGATATTTACTTATCTACACACTAAATATACTCCTAAACTATGATGCCAGGTGGTTTTTTTAAATTCGTTTTTTAAAAAACCTTAAAAACTTTTCTTACAAAGCAGAAAACAGAAGGCCATTTTTGAAAGGCTACCAAGTCAGAAACACTATAGCTAGTTAGGTTGTCAAATTTTAAAAAAATTCCTCATTCTCTAGTTCATCATTTAAAATACTCACTGTACTCCTTGTTCTGCAAAAGGTGTTGGACCACAGATGCAGATGAGCACTTTGGAGTCTTTTCTGCTTCTTTTCACAACCTCAGAGAGAAGCGATGAAGAAATCTTCCCCTGCTTACCCACCCAGTCCTTGGTTGGTTGTGAAAGAATGAATTGAACCTCAAACCTGGTAAGCAGAAGAATATTTCAGAAATATTCAGAAATATCTCTGATCAGAAATCTGCCACACAAAATGCAGATTCTTTCCTATGATTACTTTCTTGTTCTGCTCAGCTCCCACTGGCACGGTATCAGGTATCACAGACATTTAGTTGTTCCTACCAACCAAGTCAATCAAATCACCTCTAGTATTGTGCATTTAATTACTTAGCCCAATCTTTCAATCTTAAAAATTTTAGCTGTTATTTCACTGTACAAAGAAAAACAGCTGGTGCCAATTAAGATACTAAAGCACGGATTTTATTGTTCCGTTATTCACTTACACAAATGTTAGTGTAGCTCAGTACACAAGTAGTGAAATAAGAATGCTTAGCCAAACTTGTGAAAACATCAGTACAATTTCATTAATGAGAAAACACTATAACTGGTTTAAAAACCCCACTAACAGCATAGTTATTGAGTAAAAAACAAGCACTTGTGTATCTGAGGCTCCTAGTGAAAGGGAGAAAGGATTTTTACTGTAAATTCGCACAATGTCTAGACTATGAAGCTTTGGATGTGCCAGACATCACCAGGTTATAAAATAAATATTGATTTTTCGCTTCAGTGTTGTGAAGGAACAACTGAAATTAATTTGTTCATACAATTTCAACTAAGAATTAAGTAAACAAACAAAACATACTTCTATCATAAAATCTAGGCAGTAACAATTTATCTAGCAATAAAAACAAGGGTACTGAAATTCAAAGGCAACCTAATATTCCTATGTCTCCTGACAGAACTATTCCTGCTAAACTAAGTTAACTTTACATATGCGCTAGTGCATTTTAATCCATAATTACATCGTAATTGAGGAAAAAAATGCAACAATTAGTACATAAAAATGAAAGTAACGGGCCTGATTTAAACTTTAAATTTCTAGACAAACATTGAATTTCTAGACAATAATTTTCTCAACTAAGTGACACCAAAGAGACTTTTAAAGACTCCTCTGTAAATTCAGAATGTTGCTCCAAGGGTACACTATCCCTGTCTATCACTTCTGCGCTTCTCTTTGCATATCTGTATTTTCTATTGCTAAGGCTAATTTTCTTCACCTCCAAAAAGCTTCTCAGTTTTAACGATCGTCTCATCTAACATACTGTCTCCAATAAACATCTATTAAACACTGTCATATCAAATCCCTGGCTTCCTATGGGACCTACAGAACATAATGACATAGCCTGCTGCTATGCATCTGTGACCAATATAAGCACATCTCCTTCCACTCCCTAGGTCTTATCAAATTCTTACCTAAGAGTTTCCAGAATTGGGATCTGTCTTTGTGCTAAAGCTGTACAGTTAGTCTAAGCCCCAAGACTTGTTCTTCTATACACTGGGATTGTACAAGTTGTTCTCAAGACTTGTAAATACCTTTCATCTTTAAGAACTAATTGCTCTAGTTGGTTTCTCCAAAGTATGTCGTCATCTGTTTTGTTGAAGAAGATCAGCTTCACTATCCTTAAAAAAAAAAAAAGAAAAATTAACTGCAGATTGTTTCTGTATTTGAAACATCTGTTGAAGTATCAGAACTCACTGCATTATACAGAAGCCTTTTGCTTACATTTTGTTTGTTTGTTTTGCAACTCTGCAATCCTCAAATCTTTTTGCCACTAACCCAATATAGTATTTTTCTTGCTGTACCTGAAAGTCTGCTGGATTTGTGACCTCTCTTCTAAATGTCATAACCCTGTCTGCGGTTGCAACCTCTAGTTCAGGAACTGCTGTCCTAAGAAAAATAAAGTCTCTTGAAGTTACTAAGACCTGACTGAGAATAGAGTATAGCTTGTCAAGTTTCATCTAGCGGTTTCTCAATATTGTTTGAGCACTACTACTTCAGTTAATAGCTGGTATATGAACTCTGTACACCTTTTTAATATTACATACACCAGCTGTGTATTTCGAGAAGCTTATGTCAATACTAATTTCATAAAGATGGAATCTAAACACATAGGAGTAAGAGAAAATTAACTCATAACTTGAAGAGCAAATTACAGCTCTGTACCAGGTTATCTTATTCCTACTTTATTTGTTGATTTATACAATCTATTTACCTGGAAAGCTACTGTTTACAAGCATTATATTTGCCAGATAGTTCACATTAAAAATAAGTGCTCTGTCATTGAGGTCGCTGCTATTATCTTTTCAGATTTTTATGCTACAGTGGAGGTAAAACACAAAGACTGACTTTACAAAACAGAATCTACCATCTGATGAAGCCACATAAACCTAATTTCTCCTTTATTGCTAATGACAGACTAATACTCTGGGGACAACTGATAGAAGGCAGATGATCTGTTGTTAAAAGCAAGCAGTTCCTGAACTGCACCCCACAGGGCTTTAAGTTACTGTTGTTTTTTTCCACTCAGGCACAGCTCTGAGCAGAGAGAGCATGTTGCTGTGGTGCCAGAAGCAGTAAGTTCAGTGCCGTACTTGCAGGAAGCTGGAGCACTGGGATACCTGGCACAGAACCACACGGGTACCTGTCAGGGCCACCACTGAGGCTGAGCTAAGCCTGCTGGCCCTGCGCACCACACAGCCCTGCAATTCCAGTTCCGTAACAAGGCACTCCACTACCCAATGTCCCTTTTACATGTGGCCAACCTTGCTTCTAAGAGACTAGCACTAGACACAGTAAGTTTATAAGATGCTGCGCTGAAACTATTAATTCCTGTCACCTCATCTTCTGTACCTTGCAGAGAGCCATCTTTCACGCATGCGTATCACACATGCTAGGGCTTCTGCGGAGAGTTCATGATCTCCAGCTGTTCTTCAACTGCCATTTAAAAGCCAGTATTCTCCCAGCCTGAAGATACCACATTTTTGACTTCTAACCTTTTCCCCTTTCGCAGTTTGGTAGCACTTCAAGATTCCAGGAAATCTCTTACAGGCTACATCAGATGCCAAAGATAAGAGATCACCTTCTACTTATGAGAAGCACGTTCATTTTCTGCTGCCAAAAGTATAAAACTGAGGTATGACCGTTGTATATAATACACATCATCAGTAGTGTTATTGAGAGAAAGACGTTCCAGATGCATTACAACTCAAAGTAAGTTACAACGTACAAGCTTTGCAAAACCTGCCTGGTATAGAACAAAACAGCCCCAAATCAGCTATGCTGCATATTTAAATACTAAAATCAACTTATTCAGAAGCTAGCATGTGCCAAAAATCTAAGTTTCTTACACGCTTCCCATGGCCCACTTCCCTGGAAACATGGAAAATAAAGCTCACCAAGAACGTAGTGCTGTCAAAACTGGCATGGTGCCAGCGTTACTCAGGTGGGGAAAAAAGGCAACAAAAAGTGCACAGCAAAGCCATGCATTTTGTTCATTGGGCACAAAGGTAGAAAGTGGTTATTCGGAGAATAATGCTTTGAGACACCCTTACTGATACTCCCCAATGTAGACAAATATATCTGCTGCAGTACTGCTCAGTACTCAGCACTATAAAGAGAACAGAAAACCCCCAAACTTGGAATGAACTGGGAACAGTTTTGCTAGAAATGAGGGAGAAAACAGCTAAAAGGAAGAGATGGAGATTTGGATATGATCCCCACCCAGTACAGAAGAGCTGGTTGAGAGAATGATGACAGAAGTTTAGATAACAAATGAGAAACTTAATCATCTCTTTGGAAGGAAATAGGGAGAATCTGACATACTGGTAACTACTACAAGGGATGCAGGTTTTAATAAACTCAAAAACTGCTGTGGAAGGTCTTATGAAAAGCTGTATAGGGAGAGGAATTAAAGAGATCCTTACGTGATTTTAACACAGCGGAAGAAGAAGAGGTAGAAAAAGTTACAAGATCACCTTCAAAAACCAGAAGTGATGATGAAAGTGGAACACTACATTAAAAGCAAGTATGAGAACAGAGTGGTAGTTTAGGAATGAAAAGCTGGAGACAAAACAACTATCAAGGAGAATTAAGAATAGACTGCAAGCATCCTATACTTATTTGATAAGAGCATTAGCCCTCTACCTAGTGTTTAGTGCCTTTGTGCCTCAGTCTTCTTTAAGAAAGGTATCCATCTGATTGCAGTTATACACCACCAGTAAAAAGGAGCAAAAATCTCAACTTAAAAAGGAAAAAACAGCATAGAGGACCGATATTCTTTTTAAATTAATACTTTGGCCAAAAACAATTTGGCCTGTAAGAGCAGAAACAAGACTGAAGGAAGAGCATTATGACTTCATCACAAAAGGATACTGCAGACAGGAAGAGAACAATTTGTTTTCCACGTTTACCGTAGGCAATAAAAAACAGACTTAAAAGATAACAGGGAGTCTTTGGCTAGACAGTAAGAATGGAAATCCAATGATCCAAGCCCGTTACATCACAGCAAACGCCACGTAGGGAAGCTGCGGATTCTCCAGCGTTTGCAGTGCAGCCCCAGAGGTTCAGCCGCACTCATCCAGCTCTACAGACAGGGGCTTCTGCGCCCTCAGGTGATAATTCAGTCATTATTCAGATCCTTCCTCAACTTTCTGCAATTCATGTTCTAGTGTGTGCAATCCAAGCTTACGGCAATCGTTACTTTTCACAGTAAGAGAATTTTATGCAAATTATATTGTTTATATATACATATAATCTCATGTATATAAATAGTATTTATAAATACATACACACACATATTAAAGACACTCTTGTAATATTTTCCCAAAAGAGAAAGTGAGAGTTAAAGAGCAAATATAAGGCCAAGAAACTAAGTTGCCTAGAGCAGTCAGAAAAACGAAGCTTTAAGTGTCTGCATATAAACAGAACCTGTACCAGATCAAATCATTCCAGCGACTAACAAGCCTCCACGGCAAGAAGGAAAAATTCATTTACTTCGACTAGTAAGAAAACAGATGTTGCTGCATCCTAAGCTAACTGTGACCACTGAGTTCCCATAAGAAATTGTGCTGGAGAGAGTTAAAATAAGCCACTCTGGTCATCTTTCAAGGACAGAGTAGATACAAACACTATCTGTGCAGCAGTAGTCTTTCACACGTTATCTACTCTGTTTATTCTGGTTATGGATGTCAAGGTTTGCATCTTTTACTATGCTCTCCTTAGTTTTGCTTTCTTATTATCAGAACCACCTTTACCTGACATACTAGTTTTCCCCTCAAGAAGAGAAAAAAAAAAAATTATTCCAAATTCACTTAGTAGTGTTTCCCAAGCATTTTGTCAGATGATAGATTTATCTTTTGGATTCACAAAGCCAGCCAGCCACTTGTTATTCACTACTGACAATACAGGACGCTTTGGAAGAGCCAAATAGTACACAGTCTCTCTGCTCACAAAATAGGATTATATGTAATTGCTGAACAATAAACAATACAAGAATAATGTCTGAGTTAGATTTTTTTTTCTAGAAACAGTTTTCTGCAGTACATCATCCTTTTTAGCTTTACTATGAAGACTAGTGTCCAATTAATCTATGTTGTTTCAAAATGTGCTTCATAAAGACATAATGAACCAAAACATCCTGTGCTTCTATTGAATAAAATTCAGTATTAGAAATTAATCTCCATTACAAGAGTCCAAATCCAAAGGTACAGTAAAACAGTAGCAAGTCTGTTGAACTGTCCTCTGCAACAGTTTTAAAGAAAAGACAGTGCAGTTATATTTTTCATTTTTATACTCTCCCAAATTATAATAGTTCACATTGACAAAAATGTAATCTGCTAAGAAATTCTGCAAGATGTGATTCTAGTGAAAGATTTTTGCTAAAAGCAATGCAAGCACACCTCACCTCTATCAAAGTATGCCCCTACAGTAACTCTTTGAATTTCCTTTTAAAGTTGAGCTATTGTATACTCTCTTGCAGTTGTAAACTGACAATCACATCAAGCAGAAGTACTAGTTCTGGGGTTCTGAAGGACATAAGGGGCCAAAACCAACCTGTTCACTTGACCAAGAACAAGTAATGCTTCCTTGTGTAGATTTTACAAGCGGAGTACAGAATGCATATGCAATACACACCTTTTTATGCATTTGAATATACTTAATGCTATGCTTACATAAGTCGCGCTTTTCTGAAAACTGGAACTCATCTGGTAAAAATGTGTTACTGTCGCTTAGCAGGTGAAAACAATATAAAAGTATGCTAGCTACTCAAATAGATTAAAGAGAAGCTGTAACTAAACAGTTGTAAACCTCCTCAGTCCAAAAAACAGTGTCTACATTGAAATATTTCAATACTAAAAAAAGGCACTCAAATGCAAAGCTAGTTTAAAAAAAACCAACCACCCCTCAGATTTTCTACTTGGTGAGCTCATTTGTATCACAACTAAAATCCAAAATGCAAATCAGTCCATTTTGTTGATGGTAGCCAAGTATGTGTAAATTCCCTAAAGCATGCCAGCTTTTGGCATAAGTTGAAGAAAAATGCTTTCATACAATTCTGTTTTGTTAATTGTTTTATTAACACTGAGGCTTGCCCATTACGTTTCATCCTTCCTATGGATTACTCTAGCTTGGGGTTAAATCATAAGAAGTGTACGTACCGGAGGCAACTAACTTCAGTCAGAGCAAAATTCAGCAGTTTAACCATAGGTGTGAAGCCTGTGCCTGCTGCCAATAAAAAAAGATCTTCTGAAGTTTGAACCTGTGACTTCTTGAAGTTACCTTCAGGATTGCTGACAGAAATATAGTTTTCTTTATTTAAAAAAAAAAAAAAAAAAAAAAGGTAAACGTTAATGAGATGAAAACAAGCTAATTACTATTCTGATTTTTTTAAAGGCCCTTTCATATTGCCTTCGTCTTTGTAGTATTAGGGTTCCTTTCAGAAAGGTACTAGACATTTCACACAAGGATCATTCTTGTTGAAAGAACAGATGTTCAATTAAAATGTCTTCTCTTGATGGATTTTGCATTATATGAGTATACAAACATTTGTAAAGTCAGTGTTAAAAATCTACCTCCGTATCTGGAACAGAAAAGGAAGTGCATCTTAAGTCTAATAAAACAGACCTAGCTTTCTTTATTCGAAAGTACAAAAAGTTGTTCTAAGAGTATATACAACCAGTGATCAACTATAATGTGTGATACAGTTGACATATCTGAACAGTTAAACATGAACACGTTTGGAAGATCAGTCACGAGAGCTTTACGTAACAGACAACTCCTAGTTACAGTGAGGATAAGCCTGTACATTTAGGGCATGGAGAATAAGGTTTAAAAAAAAAAGTTGTAAGTATGTCCCAATGTATAAGTAGGTAAACAACAAGAACATCACAATACCCAGACAGTGAATCTGAAAAGATAAAGCAATTGCTGCAAAACCAAACACAAAAAAAATCCCAACATATACTTACCGATTTGTAGGTGGTCAAGTGCCTGTGTGAACAGTCCACAGGAATAAATTTTAATCATTAAATATATATGTGCACCATCATAGTGAGATGGTTCTTTGAAATCCAATGGCAAAAAAGGCAATACAGGTGTGTATGGTTTTACTACCTCTGTCCCTAGACAGAAGACAAAAAGGTAGCTGAAATAATATGAAAAGTACTCTACATCCAGCAAATTTACTGCAAATACCAAAATAAACAAACAGTAAACAAATAATCTGCATATCCCATAAAAATAACACCATCGCATGCTTTTATGCAAGTACGTTACTTTCCACTGCACCAGTTCTTATTACAGTAGCCTTCTACTTCCAATTAAAATCTTCAGGCCACTGTACAGTATGTTCCTTTTATACTACTTAGAAATTCAAAACACTGGAAGAAAAGATCTAGAGTCATCCCCAAAGAACATGAAAATCTAAACATTTGCATTTAATTTCAAGTACCACAGCTTGATTTTTTCTAAATTGAAATAGCAGATTTTTAGTGCTGCATGATTATATTTTCTTCCACTATCATTTCAAAAAGCCATTGTATAAGCATAGAAAAAAGACTGCAAGAGTTGGACACCAGCAAAGAATTATGTAGGGAGGAGGAGGACAAAACACTTCGCAATTAAAGGATATTTAAAAATTCTTCTGAGAAATCTCTCTACCACGCATAGTGCAATGCAAGTACAGTGACCAGCATAACCATTAATATGGAAATTTTTAATAGTAGCCTCAAAAAAAAATAAAACAGATATTTCTTTGACCTCCCATTTTATTTTTTTAAGTTCACCTTTTACAAAAATTTGAAGAATAGCACTTAAACAATGCTTTTCAAGACGCCTTCCTCTCACAACCTCATGTTATCATTAATATCATGTAACCGGAGTGTACAGTAGTGTTACCATGACTGCTATAAATCCCTCAGAAGAAGGGAAAAGGAAAAAGAAAAAAAAAGGAAAATTGCAACATTACCCTCGGCATGTCAAAAAAGCTGCAAACTAAAAGGAACTGACTAATCATACATAACACATATACAACGAGCTTAACCCCCTTCAAAGATGAACAGCACTACTTCAGCGGAGAGAATGTTTTAAAGGGAGAGTTGAAAGAAGAGCCAGTAAGGTCAACAGTAAATATCAGCCACCTCGATAGTTAGCTTTCCAGCAATATTAATCCAGTCTGTTCATTATTAAGCACTGATTGTGACCCTGGAAGCAGAGACCTTCTAACTACAAGCAGGGAATTAGTGGCCATGGACTTAGCATTCTCCCAAGACTATGAGAAGGGATTTATGTTAATATATCCATGGCTACATTCTCAATTTTTCTTACCTGCAATGATTTGTTTGAGGTAAACATGTTGTCCAGTGGGAACACGGAGATGTGTGCTCTTAGGCAACATTAAGCAGAAGAGCTTGGTGTCGTGGGTAACTTCCATCTTAGAAACCAACTTGCATTTCCTATAGAACAATCCTAAAAACATGGTTTTACTTGTCTCAATCTGTCTTTCTATTCTTATACATCTTTTAATAAGAGATAGAGAAAGGTACATGTTTCACTATATACAGTTATAAAAAGACTATAAACAGATGCTTCTTGTAGCATTACTTACAATTATTTTTCTAATTTTGGACTAAGGACTCATTTATAGCCTTACATTAGGCTTATAACAGACTGAATCTGTAAGTTATCAGCATTGACTGGGAAGAAGTAGAAAAACACCGAATACTAGAAGAAAGAAGAACCCCCTGTACTACATTGCACCTGCACTAAATTCACCATACGACTACAGCATGAATACATATATGCAGACTAAAACCAGCTTGGTTAATGCAAATGGCAGATAAGCTAGGCACAGCGCCACAGTCTTCAGGAACAGACTATCTAAACCCACCCAGCATCCCAGATATTTATTGGGCTGACCATCCTGCATTGTTGCAGTTTCACTGCTATTAGCACAACGAGAATTCCTGATACAGCTTTGCACAATTTTTCAGGTACATGGTACCAATACTTAAATGCTTACACATGACAAAATGAAACTAGCATTGTGCCTATATAGGCAATGCACACTTCAGCATTATCAATAAATATTCTGGACATGAATTGGTGCCTTTTGACTAACTAGAAATTATGAACTCCAGTTATACGTTCATACGCTTACTTAAATCAAGTACATGGTCATATGTACAGCACAAATTTTTGTTGATACAGCTGTTTTGGAGGCGAGGGGTTTCAAACAGTGCTTTTCAACTTGTGCATCAACTAAATGCTGTGCAAAAGGTAACTGAAAAAAAAGAAAGCATTAAAAAAAAAAATAATCACTGTGCAAGGTCTGCATTTCCACCAAAATTTTTCAAGACATTGAGAAAGAAATCAGGGAAAGAACACGGCTTAATCAGAATACCTACAAAAAACCTGTGTACATTCCTATTAGCAACAGGGGTATAAGACACTGGGAGAAAAGGGAAGGAACACCCCAGAATATTTAGCTTTGTTCAGGGACAAAAGGCAAATAAACTATAACAGCTTCACCAATACCTTATGGAAGCTTAAAAGTAACATGTTTTCCCTATACCCGCAATAGGCTCAGGGCAAGATAAGACATTTACTCTGCCTCTGCTACAGCAGGGGCAGTAACTGATCACTTATACTGGAAATGATCTCTGTGGCAAAGCACTCCGTGTAAGGCTGGCCAGACCTGCACCCATTTTAACTAAGCAGCCATCCTGATCTCTGTAACCTGCATCATTACATCACTTCACAGTCTAAGAGAGCATTTGAAAACACAACACAATAGAGGGCTATGCCCTGCTGATTACAGCCAGAGACTGCAGAAAGTAAGTAGGGATGAAGCAGCAAGGAAGAAGTACTTCAAAGAACAAAAGGGCAGAGATGCAAAAACAACCACTTAGTAGCTTTCACTCTGGAAAGAGACATGCTTAGAAAGGTTAATTTAGCCACAAATGCCAAATATAGGAAGGTATTCTTCAACTCTCAACTATAATATTCTATCAACTGACATAGGCCTGTTGCCATTGCCACCGTAGATTGGTATTTGACTACTTGGGAACAAGTGTCCCAGCTTTCCTAAAATACTGATGGGAATAACAATTGCTGCATAAGGCATATTGTAGAAATGCAATATGCCTTATGACAGCATATTGTAGAAATCTAGATACAAAACCGGAGGGGTAAATTGAAGATGACAAGAAATCATTTTTCCTCTTCTACCTTTAGAAGAGCATTTTTCAGCTAAACCTTTGTTTCAGCACTGCAGTATTTTAGCTCTAACCTGAAATATCAGCGTGATGATAGTACCACACTGCCTAAACAGGTCTGTAACTCAAGGGAAGTTTCATGGGCTATAAGATATTGGAAGCTCAGCCCAGCAAAGAATTAAAAAAAAAAAAAAAAAAATCAAGCAAGCAACAAAATCCCATGAGCAGCACTATCTAAACTTCATACTTCCAAAACAAACCAAAAAAAAAAAAAAAGGCAGAGAGAAGCCTCTTCCCTACAATTATCCCACCATGTCATTTACCATTTTCAATGTAAAATTTGTAACCAGTCCCAGCGAATATTTTCACATAAAGCCTCTCAACATTTGACAGGTTCATATATGAGAATACTTGAGCGTGACACGCTTCTAACGACACTTTCTGCATTGAAGCAATTTCAGTGAAGCGATGTTTCTTCCCCCCTCTTTTTCTCATGTTATTGAAAAACACTCAATTACTAGCATAAATAGCTGAGCTACTCATGAAACGGGATGAGATGCAAAGGACACAAGCGGCAACTCAGGAAAGTCCAACTAGGCAACACCATGAGGATGGTCTGGTCAAACACTGGGGCAAGGCTGCCCAGAGAGAGTCTCTGTTCTTGGAGATATTCAAACCTTGACTGGACAGCTTTGAGCAGGAGGTTAGACCAGATGACTTTCAGAGGTCTCTTTCAACTAAGTTAGTCTATGATTCTATTATTTCTTTAGGTCTTAATAATTAGAAGTACCTTGATCTTTTGTATTTTGCCCTGCACCAGCAGATGCTTCTTTATTTCCTGACTTTAATCACATGCTGATTCTCTTTTGAACAGGGATGAACTACCAGAAAATCTGTAATAAGTGTACATCACTTGTACATGGCCTAAATCCTGAAGTCAGCCAAAATTCTTTCTTGCGTCAACAACTCTTCTTAAGTGAGTCTTGCCTGACAGAGGGCTTATGCAAGTTTCCAGTGAAGTCTTCATTAAATACAAGACAAAATGTAAAGGAAATTCTAGGCATTGCTGCAGCTCAAGTGACCACTGCCATTGCTTCCCTGCTCTTACCTCCAACAGCACCACTAAAGGGAAGCCCAAGCCAGTAAGGCTAGCTGAACTTTACTCTTAACTTGGGGTACAGTTCGAGAACAGACACCAATTGCTGCACTTCAAAAAACACAAAAACAAAAACAACCCCACAAACAAAAAACCCCCCAAAAAACCCAAAATAGGCTTGAGAGGGTCTCAGTAAGCCAGCCTGTCCATTCTCCTTCACCAGTGTTCTCCAAGAGTCATTTAAGGACCGCTTTGAGTATTTCAGTAGTTTCATCTAATGAATTATCATTTTCCAAGTAACTTATCTGTACTACCATTTCCTTATTGCAGCTTTATTACCCCAAACATTCTGCTATTCCCAGATATTCTGGATTAAAAACCCAGCCAAAGAGTTCAAGACAGCTGGAGAGTGCTCTGCAACAGCGCAGTCAATTGCTGCCTGAAGGAACAGCCATCATTATTAACATTCCCTTCTTCAGTAAGTACAGGATCACTGCGCGTCAATTCAACCACAACAGGAACAAAAGAATTTTAAACAGAGAAAAGCTTTCAAATAATATTTATCCACAAAATGCTTAAAAGTTAAGGTTTTAAACAAGATGTTCCAGCTCAGCAATGTTTCTTTCTAATTGGCTTTATTTCCAAGGGTATAAATAAAGTCTGCTAGAAGGGTCAAGTATCTAAATACATGTAGTTATGCCTGGAAATACACATTCAGGTTACTAAATCTCAGCTGCACATGCAATTTGTGCATGGACTAAATTAGCATCAAATTCATTACATACCACAATTGCCACAGAAGGTGGCCATGGCATTTTTCTGCATACACTTGTTTTCTTAAATTATTCAAATACCTACTAGTGAGTTATCCACTATACATGCCTTCAAAGACATGATGTAAAGCCTCTGACATGGAATGAATTTTTCTTTATTAATATTTTCTCATGTCTTTCATAACATCCTACAAACTGCTTATTTTGAATGAGCAAACATTTCAGATGTACCAAAAGAATGCCTACAGCCCTGAAAAATGAAAGGCAGTAATTCCATTTCATAGCAGTCTTGAAGTAAAGCAAAACATCAGCAGCTCTCCAGCTATTTAAAAGAAGGTTTATAAAAAGTTTGTTGCAATTTGTTTTTAAAAGTTTGTCAATTTGTTTTTCTACCATTCTTTTGAAAAACAATACGTACTAAGATTGCAAAGTACAGTATACAAATAAATATGCTAAGATTGCTGTCAATTCTGCAGACTTAAGAATTACTTGAAAGGATATGGGAGGTTGGTAATATATCCCACAATCAGCTAATACTCTTCCAGATATTTGGGAGTGGAGAGAGAAGTTAAAAAACTGATTCATCAACTGATTCACTGTTTCCGGACAATTTTCTGACCTTTCCAACCTGACAAATTCCAACCTTTTCTACATAGAATCATAGAATCATTGAGGTTGGAAAAGACCTCTAAGATCATCGAGTCCAACCGTCAACCCAACACCACCATGCCCACTAAACCATGTCCCTAAGCGCCTCATCTACACGTCTTTTAAACACCTCCAGGGATGGGGACTCAACCACTTC